CCTGCTTTCCCTGAAGCCTCCGCTTTGGCATGTCTAGCAGAGGCTGCTTTGTTCTGAGGAAAACCAAGACGGGGTTTGTCCCAGGGGGTTTGCTGCCCAGGTGGGCAACAGGGTGGGGGTCAGAAATAAACACAAAAAATAGCATTGTTCCACCAGGCCTCCCTCCCTGGGAGTTTGGTCTGGGGAGGCAGCCTATAGGGCTCTGTTCTGAAGAGACCTGGTTCAGATCCCAGCTAGGTTACTGAAAGCCATGTGGCCTGAGGCCCCATTCAGCACTCTGAGCCTGGTTTTTCTAGCCTCAGAGGGACAACCTTACAGCATGTGCCTGTACAAAGCTTGACACAATGTCAGTTTTCCCCCTCATCTGGTTATCATCAGTTTTCATCAGGGTGGGTGGGGAGCCACAGGAGGGATGGTGACCACAATTCTCCAGAGGTGGCTTCTAGGGAGGAGGCACACCACTGTGCCCTTGGACCTAAGGGTTCTTTGGTGACAAGAATAGACAACCCATGACCAGGGTCTTCCTCAAAGGGGCCTACATCAGGGGAGTGGGAGCCCTAAAGGCCTTCATTCTGTTCCATGGGATGCCACATAACTATAACTCCTGTCCTCCTGAACATGGAGGTCCACAAGGATCCCTGAAGGCTCTAGGTGAACCTCAAGCCCAGAGCCCAAGGCATGGGGCCTAGCCCCTGCAGGTGAACAAGCTAACCACCTGGGACACTGATGTCTGACCTCTTTGTCCCCTTTGGTAGGGGTTTTGCTTGCCCTATGATTCTCCTCAGGGGTGGGGCTGCAGCATCTGGCTGCTTCGAGACCCTACTCTCCACTGTGGAGAAAGGGAGTTGCCTATATAAGTGATGTTGGGATAGTGGCTCTGTGTACATGGAGGAAGGAGCCAGGCAGCTGGTACAAGGCACCAAGCTATTGTACTCAAGGTACAAGGTCAGTTCCAGCAGGCAACTGGTCAAATGGGTGGTACCTGAGGCACAGGCACCTCCTGTCACAATCCTCTACTCTCTCACCCAGTCCCTCAGCCTAGCCATGGCAAGGAAGACACCCTGCTGGGGAAAGGTGGTGGCTTAGGTCCTCAAAATCTCTAAGGAGCAGAGAGGCAGGGGAAGCAGGTAGTGCAGAGGTCAGAGTGGGGATTTGGGTGAGGGTAAATGCTGGAATGTGCAGTGGGGCTGGGGTATCTGGAGCTGCACAGAGCAGAATGTCTCCAGTCTGGCAGGGGACAGGAACATAGCCCAGGCAAGCAGCAAGCTTCTCTGGCCCCACAGCATAGGTGCCCTGACCCCTGGCTGCCAACTTCGTTCTCTGCATCACCACCTCTCCCCACCTCTCCCTATGTCTGCCCTCCTCCTCCTCTCTTGAAGCAAACAGACTGTAAATGGGATAGTGCATTTTCATTTGCACCCGCCTTGGTTTTCCCAGCTCCTGGGGGCTGACGTGTTCTGTCCTGTCCAGCCATTTCTGCCCCCACCCCCCATCCTTGGATGGTAGTCACAGCCGTGCTTCCCAATAATGATGGGCTCTAAGTGTCTGTCTACAAGCCAGGGGTCAGGAAAGCTAATGGCAGGGCCTCCCTGAGCTTACTGCTTTCTCAGGAGGACTCAAAGGATGTGTGGCTGCCCTAGTATGAAAGAGCCAGTGTCCAAGGAGGTGGCCACCTCGGGGTCCTCCTCCCCTTCTTCAATCTGAATTGCCTTGGTCTCCTTTGTCACCAAACCTGCCTTCCCTAGACGTAAAGAGACCTGAGCAGGAGATTCTGTCAACAGACATTTTCTGGGTGCGGGAAAACACCATCTCAGAAATGACAGTGATGATCACTGATACCCTTCCCCAAGCTCCTACTAGGCACAGGGTGCTGGGCGGCCAGTGGACATGCACTGAACATCAGCTGTAGCACTAAGCACTTTGAAGGTTATTTCAGTCCTGACAATGCCCACCACGCTGACCCATTTCCCAGATGGAGAAGCCTGAACCTCAGGGGGCACAAGTAGGCTCTCTGAAATCCCGCAGGATTGATTCTGTGAGTTGGCACTGCAACTACCCTGCATGGGGGCTCAGTTTGCCTATGTCCGGACAAATGTGGTTAGAGGCCAGAAGTCTACATTTCATTGCCACCCTTGAGACACTCACAGAGGGGCAAGCCCATGGCTTCCCTGTTTCCCACTAGTCCTGGAGTCCTCTGCCTCTCCTTCCCCAGCAGACAAGGCCAAGCCTGAGGGCCTGTGGAGTGGCAGGGACCACCCAGGGAGAGGGCTGGGTTGGCGGGGGATTGATTGATTGATTGTGTGTGTTGGATGCTCCACCCTGCCTGACCACAGCAGGCAGGAAAACAGGCTCCTCTACTGCCCACCCACCCCCAGCCCAGCCCAGCCCACCTCACCCAGCCCTGAACCAGGAACTGGGCCTGCTGCCTGCTGCCATCAGCCATCAGCCATCAGCCCCTCACAGCCAGCCCAGCCCACCTCAAGGGTCCTGCCAGATGGGGAGGAGGCAGCTAGTCTCCTGGGGCCCCACTTCCTCATGCTCCCCCAGCTCAGATGGCCCCATACGGGCTGCTCCCATTCCACATCTGCCTCAGACCTTACCCCTCCTCCCAGCCTTCCCAAACTGTGAGGGGTAAGGGCAGCTTTTCCATGGCAGTGTGCCGTCACTGGCTTGAGACCCTGCACAGCAGAGATACACCCCTTAGCTACAGCCCTGCACCTTGGGCCACACCAGGGTCTGTCTGGGATGTGGGAAGCCACTGGCCCCCTTGGGACAGGGGCTGGTGCTGCCTCCCTCTTCAGGATGCAGGGGTTCACTCCTGGCCAGGGGCAGGGTCTCTGCCTCTTCACACTTCTGAGGCAGGATCAGAGGTTGAAATTTCAATTAAGGAAAGGAAATAATTATGCCAGGGCTCCAAGTTGGGTTGAGTGGGGACAGCCTCAGTATCTGCTTTCCTGGCCTAGAAAGAGGTAGCTGGGCACCTGAGGTTGGCCTGGGCCTTTGCCCATGTTTAATCTTGTAGCCTTCTTCCCTCCTTCAGCCTCAGGGATGCCCCAAAGCAGGAGTGCTGGGGGGGTTGGGAAAGGTTGAGGTTTTCTGGAGGAGTGGACTGGAGAGGAGGCCTCAGCTGGCAGGGACAAAATTGAATTAAATTAAATCTAACCATTCGGTTGCTGCCCGTCCCCATGGCTAGGCTACTAGGACCCACCAGGATGGAGATGCAGACCCTAAGCGGATTCCTATAGTGGCCTGAGGGAAGAGGACAAGGACACTTGCAGATCTTTGCAAAGGTTCCCAGAAGGCCTGCTCTGCTACTCACGGGAGAGGGCCAGCACAGGAACTTAACTCTGGGCTTTAGGCCATCTCCTGCAAAACAAGGGTCACAGCAGAGAGATCTTAGGGCCTCATGAGACCTTCTCTTACCCACTGTTCAAAAGGCTTCCAAACAGACAGACTCATCTATGCCCTCTTATCTCTAGAAATAACCCATCCTCAATCCAAAAATGTCCCTTCTCTCTGAGAACAACCATTTCCTCCTAGGAATGGTTCTTTTTAATCCAGCAATTCCTCAGCTCCAGAATGTTCCACAGCCAGAAATGTTCTACTTTATCTCCAGAAATATTCCTTCTTACCTTCAAATATAATCCATCTCCAGAATCTCCAGCATTCTCCATAAAAGTTCCGTACTAACTCCAATAGTGATCCACTTCCAGAAATGACACAACACATCCCATCTCCAGAGATGTTGGATTTCAGATCCAAAAATACTTCATCTCTAGAAGTGCCCTATTTTATTTCCAGAAATACTCTAGCATCATCTTCAAAAACACTCCACTTGCAGAAGCACTACACTTTCTTTATTTCTAGAAAGATTCCATTCTCAGAAATGTTCTGTCACTGTTCAGAGTCCAGAAAGGCCTCACCTTTACTCTAAAAAAAAAAAGCCTTCTCATATCCGCAAGTGTTGACATTTCATCTTCAAACATGCCCCTGCTCATCTTCAGAAATGCCCCTTGTCCGGAAATGCTTCCCATCTCATCTCTAGAAATGTGTTACCTCTCATTTCTAGAAACATCCCATTTCTGGAAACATTCCAGTCTGCAAATGCCATGGCATCTCTACAAAGGTCTCCCTGTCTGGCCCAGATGCTATAGGAAATTCTGACATCACTTCTTTTGGGATCTCCTGGGAAGCGCTCCATAGTGACCAGCCCCCCCCCTTTTCCTTGTCCCTCTGGTCCTTTGGGACCTTTTGGCCATCTGCTAGCCCTGTCCTTGTCCCAAGAGCAAGGACAAAGTCAAGAGCTAGGATGCCAAGGCCCTAGGTGAGACCACAAAATAACAAGATCTGGGGTGACTGGTAGTCGCCCAGGTCTGACCTGGAGGCAGGAATGGTGAGAGGGGACTTCATGGGAAGGAAGGAATTGGGATGGAATCAGTGGTGATCTCGGCACAGCCTCCCTCCAGTCCATGTCCTCACCACAAACACTTCCACCAGCTGAAGTGCATTTCATGATAATATTTACATAGTGCAAATAAACACCCACCCACCCCATAGAGCCACACACCACACACATAGCATGGAAACCCCTACCCAACAACTTCAGCCCCATCCCTATCCACATAGGCACACATAACCAACACATATGCAAGTCTGTTGTAACTCTCATACCCATGCAAACCTCTCCTACATTCCCCAGGTCTCTTATGGGCCAAGTTTTGGAGACACCAAGGAGCAGAAGCTCTCTGCCAGCCCCCCAACTAGTCTGGACTAGGAAGACAGGGCTGCTTTGTAAATGCTCACTGCCAATGGGAAATTCACAGGCCCAGTGCTGTGGGCTTAGAAGGGACAAAAAAGAGGAAGGAACACATTTGGTATCTGACTCTACACTAAGATGGGGTGCTCCCTACCTCCTGCAGTACTCTAGGCCACTTCTGAATGACAGAAAGTTCCCCTTTGGGTGGAACTGAAACCTGGCTATATCACTTTTGTCTACACAGCCAGGAACTGCTCTCCAAAGGCACAGAGCCAATGTTCCGTTGAGATTTCAAACTGAGATTCTTTCCTCCCTGTTCCAGGTCAGGTGGGAGAAATAAAGGGGTGAGTATTCTCAGGGAAAGAGATCTGGACAGTTGAGTGCAGGGTGGGTTGGTCCTACCACACAGAGATACACAGGCCCTAATACATGCACACAAACCTGCCCTTGGCACATCCACAGAGTTCACCACAGACACACAGGCAGCCATGCAACACACCTACGCATTTGCAACCCACACCAGGGAGACCAGGAATGAGCCCCTGGCCTGCCAGCTCTGACCCAGATGCCTTTGTGAGGGGACAGTCTCAGAGCCTCTAGGTGGGTGAGGGAAATGGGCTCTGCTTCCATGACCTCCATTCCCAGCAGCATTGCTTAGCTCTGGTCTGCTCCCACAGGAGGATAATTACCATTTATTAAGCCTCCCAATTTAGAATCAGCCTCAATTAACTGGAACCTCCCCAGCCCCTTTTTTCCGATCCTTTGAGGCCAAGGGCAGATGTGAATAGAGCTGAATGTGCCCTTCAATGTGCCCTCAGCGTGGGCCCCTTTGATGTCTCCAGGTTGCCAGCTCTTGCCTAGATACAGGGCTTTAACATCTATCCCTCACCCACCTTTCTTGATCCCTCCCAGTCCAAGAGACTCATCTCTAAGCCTGACCTCCCTCCTCTAGTATCTGAGATCCTTATCCAAAAATGGGAAAAGGAAAAAGAAAACCAGTTAGTTGGATGTGATCTGAACTAACACATGGTCCCAAAGCCCAACATAGCAGGCAGCCAGGGACAGAGGGACCCCAGGTTGGCTGCTGGGGAAGCAGCCAGGCCTACTAGGGAGGCTGCTGCATTGGTATTCTCTGTCCCTCACAGCCCAAATTACATTGGCTCTCCTGGGACCCTTTTATCGCACGTTGTCGCTTCAGCAAAAGGTTATGTACGAGAACATCGAAATCCCTCCCGCATATTAACTAAAAGAGCATTCTTAAAAATGCACAAGAAAAAGAGCTCACCAAAGAGCCAGTTTTTACAGTGTCTTAGATCAGGACGAGCACTGGACTGGGAGTCGGGGTAGGAGTTGTTGCTGGAATTCTGCTCTCACAGGGACCAGGGCAGGTCTGATCTCTCTGAGCTCCAGCTGTCTGGTCTGCTAAAAATGGGAACAGAAGCCCCCACAGTGGTGGTCTCTCAGGGTGGCTGTGAGGGTCATATGAATGACTGCAATGAATGAATCATGTTCTAGACAAGAAAATCTGATTGGTGTTAGTATTTAGGCTTTGCCAACTGAGTATTTAACAGGCAAAGAGCACATGGTATCATTCCCCAAGCACCCTGTGTCCTTTCACACCTCACACCTCCTTGTCATTCCCAGGCCACCCCCCACCCACCTGATGTACCTTTTCCCGTTTTAGGGGGTGGAGGGAGAATTCTTGGAAAACAACTTCAAGACTCAGTTTGCAATCAGTTTCTCAGCTGTGACATTTAATAGCTTCAAAGATGTCATCACCTCAGATCAGTGAAAGCCAGGGTAACAGGATCAGAACCTAGGTGTAAGTAAGCAGGGGGCTGGGTGGCTCTGGCTACATGGGAAGGTGGCAGCCTCATCTTAGCTCTGCCTACAGTGCCATGTGGGTATGTGGGCCAGCAATGCCAACCTGCTAGTGCTTTAAAGAAAAGCAAAAAGTAGAATTTTTGTGACATCTGATGTTATTTTTAAAACTCTGTGCTGACCAAACACCACCCATCTGAGGATGTTACCTCTCAAGCCCCAACTGATCCTGTCTTGCTTCTCCATGGCACACAGGTCTGCTCAGAGATAGGGTAGGCTCTGCAGGGCCAAGGAGAGCAGGGGCCTTCTGGGTAGGACCACTAGGATAACACAGGGCATACTTTCCATGGGCTAGCTGGCCACTAGGCCTCAGTGTACTCATGTGCCAAATGAGGACAAGAACAACCTACATCTGGCAGGTGATAAGAGGAGTGCAGAAGCCCCTGGCATGAGAATAGGCTCAGCTAGCTTCTGATCATTGAGAGGGAGGGAGGGAGAGACCCACAAATGTTGGGTCATTCATTATTGGGGTCTGCCCTCAGCAGATCACACTAAGGCTACAAGGAACCAAAAAAGAAACCAAGCCCTTCATAGATAAGGAGATACCCACTAGAGTGGTGTGTCCCTTGCCTCATGTCACACAGCAGAAAGCACATGGATGGTTAAGGCCAAGGTCCTGGAGTCTAATTGCTTCCTGTCATGACACTGTGACCCATAATCCCAGCCCCTTCCAACAGATAAAAGTTCCCAAATGTAGGCAATATCATTAGGGGCACTAGGAAGGTCTACCCTGTGCAAACTCACACCTGTTCCAAGTTGCTGGCTGCTGGGACCTCAGCCATCAGACATTCCCTTCCGCAGATACTAGGAAGGAGGGCCGTGCTCCAACCCCAGCCCTATTCATCACTGGCCTGGCTTCTTACTGGCCCATGGATCTTGGACTAGAGTTGCCTGACCACTCTAAGCCTCAGTTTCTTTATTTGCAAATGCGGACAACAGGAAGCTTTCCCCCGAAGGAGGGCTTGAAGATGGAAGTGCTGGGGTTTAACCAGGAGGCCTGATCAGAGGATGCCTTGGCCCTCTCTCAACCTGGGTACTGTCCCTCTTCCCTGCACTGAGCTTTCTTTGAGGGAACTGTAATCTGCTGGGCTCTAATTACTGCTCCCCAAGGACTTTCACCTCCCTCACCAGGTGAGTCTTAACAATCCCTCCTGGGCTTGACAAGCACAAGGCAGGGGCTGGGCTGGGGACAAGATGAGCTGCTTCAGGCACCAGCAGAAGTGTGGGGAGTGGAGTCAGGCTTCTACTTCCCAGGCCTGTACAGCAGCTCTTTGTGGAAGGAAGACTGGGGTGATGCTCTTGCTCTGTCTCCAACCGAATGGTTAGAATGAGGACTCAGGAGTGCCAAGGAGGAAAGGAGGCCCAGACAAGAGCACTGGCAGCCCAAGTCACACAGCCTTCCCAGGGCCTCTCCAATCCTCTGCACTCTTCTCTCCTTGGCCCCATACAGTCCCACCTCTGAGCCTTTGCCTCATGCACACACCTGCCTCCAGCACCCTTCCTGTTCCACTGGTGCAGAAGCAAACCCACCCTGACCTTCTAGAGGTCCCACAATCCACACCCACTCCAGGCCCTTTCTCTTTCTCTAAGCCTCCAGCTGTGCTGCACAGAACAGCCATCAATCCTCCTCCTGTGGAAAATACATGCAGGCACATGCCATTTCCTCCAGGTTGCCCACCTGACTCTCCCTGGGCCAGGTCTCCTGGCCAGCCAGAGAAGCTGTCTGCAAATGGAGGAAATGAAACATGACTGTGAGACAAAGTGTGGGTCCAGGTTGGCCTGACAAGGAGGGGCACAGGGTCAGGCTGACCCAGTTCAGCCTGGTCTGGGTGTCCCATCTTCACTTCTTAATGAGGGCCAGGTAGGTGTGAGGTACTCAAAAGGCTGGCAGTGTGCCTGGCAGCCCAGCAATACTCAGGGCTGGCACCACCACCTGCCATGGCCTCTCCTGGCTACTCAGGGGCTCAGCCTACAGCCTTGGGCTGTGAGCCAATCCAGAGGCCAGAATGTGGCCAGGCACCTATGGCAGGGTGGCAGCAGCAAAGATTCTCCCTCTGCCTCTGTCCCTAGAGCTGCCCTCTGAAAGCTCTGGCCTGCCATCAAGGCTTCTTTCTGTACCTCCATCCCTCATCCTGGTGAGGACACTTCATCTCACCTCCTAGCCCTGCCCAGTCCTTCAGAGCCTAGACTGGGCAAGGGAGCCCCCATGGGAGCCCTGGCATCATTATGCCTGTCCAGCTGTGCTGCAGCTGTCACAGTGCCTGCTGGGTGACAGCAATTAAGCTGGAAGCTTCGGACTAGTAGCTGGAGTCCAAATCTAGCCTGCAGGGAGTTGCTGAGTTAGATGATGGCACAAACAAACCAGGCCATGTCATGGAAACATCTGATCCCTGATGCCTAAGGCAGTGGGTGATAGGTTCCCTGGCTGTATCCTACATAACTGGGGCCAAGCTGTGCTGGCACACCCCACCAGGACTGGTGTCCCCCGCACTATGCAAACATGAGTTCATCTCTAATCCCTCCTCCAAGGTAACATATTTTCACTTTTTTTTTTTTTTAACAAATAGTGTCTCAGTTACTAAGCTGCCTAGGCTAGGCTTAAACTTCTGATATCTTCCTGCTGCTGCTTCCTAAAATGCTGGGATCACAGGCATATGCCATCATGACTGGCTCATGTTAGCATTTTAAGCAGGACCTTTAACGCTCTGACCAGTGGTGGTGACAGAGGCATTTCAGGCCCTAGGGAACACAGGAGGGGGATATTTAGAGGAATAGCAGGTGTCAAGGTCACCTGAGAGGTGGCTACTTTCATAGATGACCTGGTACAGGCAGGGTCTCTGCCCGCTTCAGAGCCAAAGAATTTTGTGGGATGAGAAGACCTCTCCCCCAACTCTGCCCTTTGAGAACAGGTAGATACTGCTCTTCCCACCCTACCTGTCACTCTGATTCCTGATGACATTATTTTTGGTTCTCAAATCCTCTCCTTGGTCAAGCTTCCCCTAAGAACACGGGACTAGATCAAACAAATCTCACTGGAACCTAGTCCAACAGAAACATTCCTTCCTTTTCCCCAAACACTCTACCTTTGATAATCTAACCTTAGGTGGATCCATTGAATATATTAGCCCCATAGAAGCTCAGATTGCGATGAAGTCACCTGAACCCCAGACTGCCTCCTAGAAAGTACTGAAGCATTACATCAAGTCTCCCTCTCCAGAAACCAGTAAGCCCAAGGCCTCTACGCAGCAACACAGAGGTGCCCTAAATAGATGGACAGATGTACAAACGAGCCCCTCTGGCATCTAGGTGCTGCCAGGCATTTGAACAAACAATCTAGTTTTTCTTATTCTCCTGACAGTCTTGTCAGGAAAAAGCTAGGATTCCACGGCAGAAAGGGGAAACCGAGGCTCAATGAAGCAGAAAAAGCCCTTGCTCATGGCCAGTGCTCTTGTTTCTCGGTGTGGCTGACTACAGTGAGGCCTCTTCCTCTCAGGCTGGGTGGGCTGGGCACACTGCGGTGGCTAATAGTGTGTAGAAGAGGGTAGGAGCGTAGTAAAAGCCAAGTCCCCACAAAACCTGAGGTGAACTGGTTCCTCTGAACATCTAACACTCTTAGGAACCCAGGCAACACCTGCCCCTAGGCATAGGCTAAGGGTCATCTGGTTCCTCTATACTAGTACCACTACATTCTACCACTGAAGTCCTTGTAGATCTGACTAGCTCAGCAATGACCAGGCCAGGTACAGCATGATCCAGCTGGGACCCTCCAGAAAGGCCTTGGTATTTGTACTCAGGAGTCTGGATATGATGCCCAGAAAGGACACCTGTAGCTGATCTGAGGCAGAAATCATCAGGCAACCTGGGAACACAGTAGATGTTGGCAAAGATGACACAAGTCAGGCCTGGGTTGCTTGGAGATGGTGAGTCATCCAGCTCCCCACCTGAATAGCCATAACAGCATTCTACTCCTGCAGCTTAACCTCAGAAAGAACTACCTCAGGGTTGCTGTGTTGGATAGGAGGCCTGGCTTTGGGGGCCCCAGCTTCCCAGGCATCCTACAGAGGTAAAGGTTCATGGTGGGAGTCCTGGGGGATGGGGGCAAACAAAAGTTAAGAAGGGGCTCTGGGACTTGAGGTCAGGGGACCTGGATGAGTCTGGGACTTCTGACCACCATGACTGCAAGTTTGTCACTTCACTGTACTGCTGGAACCACAGACACGGACATGCAGGAGCTGTGCAAACAACAGGGCTTGTGCTAGACACAGGATGCAGAACCATGGGGTAAGGTGGGTGTTACCCAGCTCTGGGGACCTCAGAGACACAGCTGGGAGAATCCTTAAAACTCAAAGAAGCTCAAATCTGACAGGCATGTGCCTCTCCAAGCCTCTGCTCCCTCTGTGAGTGCCTGACCTGGCTGTGTCTGCAGGTAGACCCTGGTCTCAGCCTCATCCTCTCCCTGGCTGGGGATGTGAGCAGGAATGGCTCAATCAGGATATAATTGTTTTTAATTAACGTGTGGATCATTTCACAGGCTGATCTCCTTGGAGACCACAGGGAAGACGGTCTTTAAGATTTTCTTTTCCTTCCCCCAGCAACCCCCTACACCAGAATGCCCCCCCCCGCAACCTTGAGAAGAGCACAAAAGCCTGATGCCTGGATCCCTCCTGGGGCCACTAGGAGAAAAGTGTATGCTCATACCGACACACACATGTCCTGGAGCTAAAGGCACACCCCCTTGAATTGCACACATAGGATGAGAGGCTTACAGACATGGGGTTGCACTCACACACAGGGCACACACAGAGGCCCACAGACTCGCCCAGACAACACACACACACAGGCATGCACAGATGCATGTGCCCAAGCCAGGAGGCACACCCTCTCCCTGCCAAAGAAATATATAGACAAGACCAAAGGTACACAGTTATTGTACACACACAGGACATCTCACACACAGGGACGCCCAGAGATGAGCAAACCCACGACACAACACATGCACGCACACATGGATGAGCACTCGCCCACAGACACGCACGACAGAAACATCCAAACACCCTCAGCAGGGCTTCTCCTTGAGGGGTGGCATGCTGACAGGGAAGGGGAAAGAAAGCTGCGCTTGGATGGGTAGTCAGAGCCACAATCGCCTTGCCCCCTACAAGCATCCCTAAGCCTCTGATCTGGGGATGCCCCACCACCTGCCTCATGTGTACCCCAAGTCTTGCATAATACCTTCTCAGTCTGGGTCCTTCTGATACCTAGACACCTCCCATCTCTCGCCCTCAAACAGCTATTGCACTGAACTCTGCAGAACCCAGCCAGAGTGTCTAGCACTCGAAAGCTCTGACACTCCCCAGTGGGAGGGATGTTCCTTGGCCTCTCCTAGGTGTCTGATGATGCCTGGAGGGGAGGTCTTCCTCTTTCTGCATTTGACTTAAGTACTTTCTTCTGTTTTCCTACTTTTTCCTGCTTCCATTTTCTTCCTTCCAAGCTCCCTGCCCACAGTTCCAATACCTGTGTCTACATCATCTCTGCATCCAAACTCTTCCTTCTCTCCTGCCCTGTCCCCTCCTCCACAAGGAGCCTCCAGGTTCAACTGCAGGTCAGGGGGAGACAAGATGTTTCCTGTCCTTGCCCATTCCCCCCATGTTCTACACCTGACCTGTTCCAGCCCCAATCTCTGGCTCCTGAGTAGATGCTGAGCTCAGCTGCTGGACAAGGAAACAGCATAGGACAGAGCCACAGGCATCTCCAGGATCCCTCAAAATCTGCAGTCATACCTCTTTCTTGTACCTGCTTTGGATCCTCTGCTTTTCCTTTCGGGAAATGGGATGGCAAAGAGGAAAGTGAGAGGGGCAACAAGGAGTTCATGGTTGGCCAACCATGGGCTGGTGCTGTTGGCCTGGATCCAGAAACAGGGCAATACACACTACACAGATGGGCACAGAAACCTGTCTGATGCTCCAATGGGGAACACTAGGGGCAGGCAGGGTGCTTCTCATTTGGGGTCTTGCTTCCTCCCTCTGTGAAACAGGACATGTTTGGCTCAGAGTACCTCCAGGGACCTTTCCCAGAGGTGAATACCAAAATGGCAGATCAGCAGCTGGTTCTTGGCTGCTGCACAGCCCAGCAACTGCTGTGTGACCTTGGGGCTCACTTCCCCTCTCTGGGCTCTGGTTTTCTCCTCTGTCAAAGGAGGGAGGTCAGACAAGTGATTTATCACCAAGGCTTTCAGCTCTGGTAGTTTCCAGATTGTGGGGAAGGAAGAACAGTGTCCCACTTATCCAGGGAGAACTACAGGAGCCCTTTCCTTCCACTGCAGGTATGTCAGAGCCTTCGGCACCAGCAGCGTCATTTTGAGGAAATCATCTTAAACATCAGAAAAAGCTCTCTGAACAAAACACATCCACTACATCACTCATCAGGAACATGCAGAACATTGAACAAAAGGGAAATATTAAGTAAATTATGGCACATCCGATACTTGACTGGAAAAGCCTGAAGACATTAACTGCCATGTTTATGAAGCACTGGTTACAAAACAGGAAAAGGCTGGCGTTGTCACCAGCAAAAAAAAAAAAAAAAAAAGCAGGATATACATCTGAATATAGGGAATGACGACAAAGCCTTTAAAAAACCGACCAACCACCAAGTGACACAGGCCTGGGAAGAACTCCATCAAAACGTTAGCATTGTTGAGGCTACAAAGACTGTCAATAACCTTTTTTGTTTGTTTTTTTCTATTTTTCAGATTTTCTGTGAACCATACTTTAAAATGTACATATCGAAAAGGCTTTAAAACAATGACTAGATGCCTCCAATTGAGAAACTTTCTTCTTTCATTCACTGATTCATTCATTCATTCATTACTAATCCATTCACTTCTGTGTTTGTCTGGGGGAAACAGGACAATTACATGTCTACAGTGTGCCTGGCCCCTGGGGCTTTTAGGGAACAGTTTCCACTCGAGAGAAATGGAAGTCAGGCAGGGAAAGCAGCCCCACAACTAACTCTACACCAAGGAGTAAGGGGAAATGGATCCTGTAAGGTCTGGCCCTGCCTCCAGGAGCCCTCACCCTGGCCACCCTCAACTGCTATGGTCTCACAGTCCAACCAGGGGTCAGAAACTCATACTTCAGGTCAGGCCTTCCGATGGGGGGCAATGTTAGAGCAAGAAGCACCCATTTCAGGAGCCTTCCCACTCTGGACAAAGGGTAGAAGGGGCTTCCCTTTTCCTCAACCCCAACCCATATGGCCTCCAGTTCCCAGTGGCCATGGCTGGTAACCTCTTTTCTTTCTGGGCAACAAGGCTATAGCTTGGCTGTGTGATCTTCTCTGGGCTCTGATTTCCACCTCCCCCAAGGTCCCTAACAAGTCACCACCCTGCCAAGTCTTGTCCTGCCAAAAAGGGGGTTTACAGGGTGTGCAATCTGCTCACCCATCAGCCAGGGTCATGCTGTTAGCATGTCAGAGGACCCAAGATCGTGCCCCTGCTGTGCAGGGTGTGTGTGTGTGTGTGTGTGTGGCTGTGCACGCGCAAGCGTGTGTGACAGATTTCTGGGGGAGGGTTAACTCTTTCTATTCCTGGACTTGGTGACAGAACAGTCTGGAAACAGTCCAGTCCCCTGCCTCCAAAGGTGCCTCTCCTCCCCCAGGAAGCCTCCCTTTGGGTAGGGAGAAAACCGTTTCCACCTGCCTGAGCTGCCAGCTTAGGACTGGCTCCCACCCCACAAAGATAAAGGGGAGGCACCTTTATGGCCCTGAGTTGCTTCCCTGGGAATCCAATTAAAGCTGATTTTCTTGGGCTCTCCAGCCCACCTCCCACAGGGCCCAGTTAGTCCAACACCTCTTCTATACCCTCGTTGCCACCCCCAAAGGAGCAAAGGGATTGGGAGCTTTGAGTGCCAGGAAGGCTTTGATCCAGCAGAGCTCCTTTAGGACTGGAACCGCCCCCCCCCCCCAAGACTGCGGTCCCCAGAAATTCTCCCAGCTAGCCTTCCTTTCACATGGCCCCTGTGGAAAAAGAAGTTCCCACCACTCCTCTCCTGCTTTATCTGACCTCCCCCAGGGGCCAGGAAACCGGATCTCCGGGACACCAGAGCAGCAGCATCTGCCGTGGATCGCAGGAGACAAACACTTCGTCACACAAGCACATCACCCTCGGGATCACCTCTCTTAGCCCGCAGTGTACTGGAGGGGAGGAGGCTGAGGTGAGAAGGGCCCTCGAAGTGCCCGAAGGCATCAGCCAATTGCCTTGCCAAAGAGGGGCTAGAATCTAGCCGCAAACCCTAACCCTCGCTTCCGCCACACAACCCTCCCCCCTCGCCCACGGCGCCAACCCACGTCAAAATCACCGACCCAAACAGTTCCCTCCCTCGAAGAGGACCCCCTCCCCCTAGCCGGGGCCCAGGGTCAGCAGCCTCAAGAGAGACTCAGCTATGACCCCCCCCTCCCCCTCCCGGCAGAGACACGAGATTTCATTGTCAGCTTGGTCACTCGGCTCCGCGTGAGATGAGGGCACAGGCCGGGGCGGGGGTCTCCGGGGTGGCCTCCGTGCAGGGAGTGGGGAGGGGTCTCCAGGGGAAGTGTTTGAAGCTGCTCTGTCCAGATCCGGAAGCCAACAGCGGAGGGAGGAAGGCGGGGGTGGGGAGAGAGCGACCTTAAGCGCTCGAGGGCGGCAAGGAGGGGCCACTCGCGGCCCGAGGCTGCGCCTGGAGGCGTCGGGGCACCGAGTCCGCCGGGAGGCGGCCCTCCCGGGAAGTTTCCCACCAGTTGTCCAGAGGAGGACTGGGTGCACGGACCGCCCACCCCGTCCGGACTAGCTCCAGGCGCAAATGGCGAACTTGAACAGAACTCCTTCCTTTGGTATCCCTCACCTCCCGGGCCGCGGGCAACAGCCCCGCCATCTCAGCCCCAAGCCTGCCGCCAGCGTCACTGTCGCCAACACCACTCACCAAAGCATTGTGGAGGAAAGGGGAGGGAGGAATCCCCGGCACAACCAAACTGCGGTCAGAGGGGGAAAAAAAGCAAAGAAAGAAATTTCTTCTGAGACCAATTCCCTCCACTGACATGAAAAACCCAAATCAGGCAAATCTGCAACTCCATCCGAGATCGCAGCGCCGCGGGAGGGGTACCCACGGCAGGCGGCGACCCCCACTGGCAGCCCCGGGCTCTGGGCAGGTCTGAGTGCCTCGGCGGGCCGGGACTCGGGGAGCCCTCGCGCCAGGAACGCCGGCCGAGGACACAAAGCTCTGCCGCCAACAATACCTGCGGGGTCCTCCTGGGTCTCCCGGGCGCCGGCGCTGCGCGTCTCGCCTTCTCCCTTTTCCCCGCCGTCTCTGTTCTCCTCGCGCGCGCGCTCTATCCCTGGCCTCTTTCAGAACGCGGCGGCCAGATGAGATCCTTGGGAGAAAAAAAATGTGAGCGCTCGCACGGTTCCTTTCTCTCCGCCCGCCGCTCGCGGCGGCCCCGGGCTCGCTCCTTTCCCTCGCGCTCCCGCGCGCGCCGCGCCTCTCGCGCCCCGCGTTTCCTTCTCAGCAGCCCCTGCAAGCGCCCTCAGTAGCCATTATTCACGGGCCGCCGGGGGACAGGAGGTAATTAGAGACGGCCCGGTGGCCGCATCCACTCCGCGAGCGCGATGCGGGAGCGGGGCGCGCGCGGGGAGGGGCGCGCGACGAGGGGGTTTAGCTGCGCGCAGCCCGCGCCCCAGACGCGGGGGAGGGGAAGAGGAGGAGGAGGAGGAGGGGGCAGGGAAGGAGGAGGCGGGGAAGGAGTGGTGAGCTCGCTGAGGGAGCGGGAGGAGGGGGCGCCAGGGAGCAGGGAGACGCTTCCGCGGCTCTCACCGCTGGGGCTCGGGGTCACCGCTTCGAGGCTCCTAGGCGTTTAGGGACGGGTGGTGGTGGGGGTGGTGAGTGTGTGAGTGTGTGTGCGCCCGCGTCAAAGAAGGGGAACGTGAGGACGCTCTAATATTTTTCAAGTGACTTATGAGCCCGTGGGGTGAGCTTTTGGCAGTGTTTAGGTCTGTGTGTGTATCAATGTGGCTGTATATTTCTGGTCTGCCCTACGTGTGAATGTCACGGGGCTGGTAGGGGGTTGTCTAGATACGAGCTTGTGAATGTGCTTTTGGGTCTCGGCGGGACTGAGTGACGCGTTGCCTGCGTGGGGTGGTGTGTTTGCGATTGTTTATAGGGGGTAGTGTGACTGCGTGGGTGGGACCGCGCCTATGTGTGTGTGCGCGCGTGTACATGGGATTGTGCGTGCGTGGGGGCTGAGGATTAGTGGGCGTTGTGCCCGTGCGGACTTGTTTGCGAGTGGATTAGCTATTGCACGGGGCGGGGGGGGAGGCTGCACATGAAAGACCAGCGCGTCTGTGTAGGGTCGTGCGCTGCGCTGAGGCAGTGGTCTGTGGCAGCAGACGGCTGTGTTCTGCGTCCGGGGCGAAGGCCAGGCGGGCGGTGGCTAGCCCTGATGGCGCCGGGGTCGCACCGCGGCACCGTAGCCGCTTAGGTGCGAACAGGCAGCGCTTGGGTTGGGGCTCAAAGCGACGCGTTAGGTGGCAGGAATGGGGATGGAAAAGGCAGAGAAGGGGCCCTTCATTCCACGCCTCCCTTCACCGCACCAGACCCAGCTTGGAGATCCTGCCACTTGCCGGCCCCGCGGTCCTAGAGACACGGGTTTAGGGAGACCCTGGCTGGCTCGGGGAGGTGGCTGTGGGCAGCGGGACCAACATTCGAAGATCCTGGAACAACCCAGAAGCGCGCGGCGAGGGATACCCGGAGAGGGGGGTCATGGCCCAGAAACAGCGGTGGGCCAGGCCGAGACAAAGAGCCGGGCTGGAGGCCTTGGGGCTGCACCACAGCGGAGGGGCCGCTGGCCGGCGCGCTAAAGGACTGATGCGTGAAACCCCGCGGCGGCGGTGCAGCCACTGTTCCCTTCAGCACAGGGAGCCGCTTTGCAGCCCTGGGGGCACGTAATTACGCGCCCCGGGTGGCCGGGGCGAGCTGTTCTGAGTGAGTGCAGCTGGCGGGCGCCAAGCCTGGGCTGTGATTGAGCGGCCTGCTGGCCCGCCCCTTTCCAGTTCGCTCGCCGCCCACGCAGCCATTCATTCATCCATCCATCCCGGCGTCTCCTTATCCACCCGTTTGTCCATTCGTTCAAGTGTCCGTCCATCCGACCGATTACCGGTGTCAAGTATCACCGAGATGTGTCAGACCCAGATCCCCAGGTCAGTCACTGTTTCCTTCTCTTAGGCACTCCCTCCTGTTTTTTCCCCCCTTAGGCTCCTGTCACTCTAGCTCACACAGGAGGAGCTCACACAAGACCCCTCTCACACTTGGGATTTGCTGCTCACCGATGCCCTGACCTCTCACTCCTTCTACTAAACCCCATCCTGCCCCTACTAACGTCCCAGTACATCCTACACCCCACCCCATCCCTGTTGTACAATTGCATGTGAGGTGGGCACGGAGTGGCTTCTCTCTGGTCCTCCCTGAAGCCTGGTGGCACCTTCTCTGTGGGGACAGGCACAGGCCCCACTTTTCCACACTCCTGCTGAGTGCACCTCAGCTCACCCCCTCTGTCCTGGGCAGGGTGTGCCTCCAAGTCATGGATGAGATGGTGTGGAGGCTTGTCCCAAAGGAAAGCAGAAGCCTTCATCTGTCCCTAGGGTTCTCCTGGGATTCCTGGAGCCTCTGGGGACAGTCCTGTGGCAGAGGGGTCCAAGTTCCAGAAGGCTGTGATCACATCAGCCACAGGTAGATGGACATCCTACCTGGCTGTAGCCCTCAGTAAGTGTTATCAGGGAGGCTCTCTGGCAGCATTGAAAGGTCAAGATCTGCCCGTCTCAGAGGGAAAACCTAGGCTCAGAAACTGCAAAGGGCCTGCCACAGGCACAAAGCAAGACATCCTATCCCAACTGACTAGAAGGTTCAAGAGAGGGTCTGCTCACCTCTGCCCAGCACAGTGCCTGACACACAGTACTGTGCAGTAGTAGCCACTCAATATTTACCAAATGAATGGAGGAAGCAGCAGTACCAGGATTCACATGTAAATGGGCCTGGTCCCCATACCACTGGGGTTATTCCAACAAACTCTATGAGCAGGATCATGTAAGGTCATGTATGGTACTGAGCACACAGCACAAATGACATAAATGTCAAGGGAATGGCCAGCAGAGGACGCTGGCCAGCTTCCCGTTTCCCCAGGACCTGTCCTGGCCCAGGGGAGGAGAATTAGTTCGGTGGGGTGGTGGGGCTGCTTACAGACCTCAAAGGCCTGGTGCTTCCTGGTAAAGTGTGGCTGTGCACAGGGGGCCATGCCAAATGCCCCTTTTGTTTGCCTGGAGCTATCAAATAAATAGCTGCTTTCATGCAAACTGTATGCATTGAGAAGGCCAGAGACCTCAGGGAGGGGGGCAGGGGAATACAGGTCACGGGGCCTGCCAAGGACAAGGTTCATGAATGGCAAGCAGGGACAGGTTAGCTAAGGGGCACCAGATGGGTACAGGTCAGTGTTACTGAGACCCGAATTAAGCCTGGGGTTAGCAATGGGCCAGCAGTTTTTACTGTTTCTTTTCTTCTCTTGGCGGGGGGGGCACATGTTTAACATGTATTTCACACTGTTTATTGAGTAGTGAGGCAGCAATTTTGAATCTATGTATCTTCATCTATCAGTCACCCTCCACATTTCAGAGACTAGGTGACTGAGGTCCAAACAATGGACTTGCCAAGGTCACACACTTGAGTGTAGCAGAAATATTCACCCACTTGTTCGGTAAATATTTACTGAAAACCTACTATGACTGTTCCCTGTGTTGAGAATTCAGAGCAAGGAGCAAGACAAGGTTTTCCATTTTAGTCCCAAGACAGACAAGAGCCAAAATAAATAAATGATATATAGTCGGGCAATTTTATCATTGTGCAGATACCATAGAATGCCCTTACGCAAATGAAGACAGCTACAAACAACACTAGGACATATAATCTTATGGAACCACTATGGTATGTGGGGTCCATCACTGGCCAAAATGTTATGTCATACGTGACTATAGAGCATCATGTATTACATTTAGGTGAGGCATGCTATGGAAAAAATAAGGCTGAGAACACTGGGGGAGATGGTTAGAGAACTTATACCTGAGAGCATACTTGAAAGACTAGTAAGGCATGCAAATACCTGGGGGGGGGGCTGTGCAGTTGGAAGAAACAGCAGGTGCAAAGGCCCCAAGGCAGCACCCAGGGTTGTGGCTAGAATGGAATAAGCAATATGGCCAGAAGACAGGAGTGGAGAAAGAACAAGGGGCCACGTTGATATTGTCCTATATACCCCTGTAAGGATTTTTTACTTTTAAAATGAAATGTAGGGTCTCTGCAGTGTTTACAGCAAAGGAAGTATGCGATCTCCCTTAGGTCTTCATAGTACGCCTGGATGCTATGGTAAGAATGAATGTGTGGCTAGGGCAGAAGCAGGGAGGCCAGTGCAGTGGCCCTGCACTAGGCTATGTGGGCAATGGTGAGACCTGGCCAGGATTAGCAGATGGACCTGGCCGGATCAACTCACTTTAAGGGTGTAGCTGATGTTATTTCCCATTCATACCCTGGGGAGGTGGAGAGCAAGTGCCTCTGAAAGGACAGCCCCTTGCTCCTCAACTTGTTAACAACCTTTATGCCAATTGGTCAGCTTCAAGCTGTCAAAGGGCCCCCATTTTTAGTGAATGTACTAGAAACCATGCCTGCTTTGGGCCCACCATGGGGAACCCACTTTAGTCATCTCCCACCTTCTGAGCCTTGATAGCCCCAATATATGAGCATGTCAATCTGGTCAGTGCCGTCAGCCCTCCTGTAGATATGGCTTTGACTCCCAGACCAGTGAAGCTAATCTATTGCACAAATCTCTCCTTTGGTACATGTTTATGGAGCACTCATTGTATGTTGTTTGGGGTGCTGGGGCAACAGTGAATAAGTAGATATCTCTGTCCTTGTGCGGCTAGCATGGGCATTCAACAGTTACAGTCCTGTGCCATTCTGTCCCTGTCAGAACCCTGAGGGAGCTGTGCTCATGTGAAACCCAGAGCACAACCCTTGTGAAACATGCTTTCCTTCAAAAGCAAAGAATTTCATATTCCAGCCAGTGGGGGTAGGGGGGCACACTGGAAGTATAAATATACAAGTTCTCTTAAGTTTCTGGAACATTTTCTTTCTTTTTGGGGGGAACATTTTCAAATAGCCTGCATACCCCCAGTTCTCCTCCCTACCCAGGACCTAGGGGCAGCAGTGGAGGGTGGGCAGCATCTGGGATGCCCGACATGGGTTCTGGCCAGGGTCCTGCCAGAAAGGCTGCTCTGGCGTCTACCTCTCCCACCTGGGGTACACTGGAGGGTGAGATCATCTGCCCTGGGCTGGGGT